TGATAAAACAGGAAAAGTGTCATTATCCTAAATTTTCCAGATGCAGTTACACTTTCAGAAGATGTTTTGTAGTTATGGATTGGGAATATATTCTTAATTGCGTCTGTTTATCTGTCATCAAATTGATACCTTATCACTGTTTGTGTATGGTTATATGATATACATGTAAATGGCTGTTGTTTCCAGTTCGAATAATCTTATTTTTCAGGAAAACTGTTTTTCTTTGACCTTCTTTAGTAAAAAATTATCAGGTTTGGTGATTACCCTCCTTACATGTGAAGTATATACAAGAAATAAATAGTTTACATGTTCAGGGTTTGCGCATGCGCGAAAATGTAACAAAAACCAAATAAAAACCTTTAAACTATTGACTATATACTTAGTGTTTTTGGATTTTAAATGATATTATGAATTAATTTTATAAAAGAAGGACGAAAGATACCAGAGGGACAATCAAACTCTCAGATCGAAAACAAACTGACAACGCCATGGCCAAAAATAAAAAGACAAACAGACAAATAATAGTACAGATGACACAACATAGAAACTAAATACTAAGCAACACGAACCCCACCAAAAACTGGGGGTGATCTCAGGTGCTCCGGAAGGGTAAGCAGATCCTGCTCCACATGTGGCACCCGTCGTGTTGCTTATGTTATTACAAATCCGGTAAATAGTCTAATTCGGTAGGTCACATTCGTGAAAAGGGAAGGGTATTGTAGTTACGACATAAGGAACATATCCGATATCATCTGTGAGACGGTTATTCCATAACGGTCAACCAACTCGTGATGGCGTCCGTAAAATTTACGAAGGGATGATTTCAACTTCACCATTTGGAACTCTTGGTTTAATAGCTTCCTTGTGAGCAGCAATCCTCTATCAAGGAAATCATGATAGGAAATACAAGCCCGGGAATATCGTATCAATTGGGAGATATATATTCCGTATGCAGGCTTTGCTGGAATGTTGCTACATAGAAATGGAAAGTTCACAATTGGGAAGCTGAAATCATCTCTTTTGTCGTAAAGTTTTGTTTTCAACCGACCCTCATTGTCAATTTTCAGATGTAAGTCAAGATATGAGGCAGACTTAACTGTATCTGTAGTATCCTTTATCTCCAGTTCGATGGGATAGATTCGTTCAACATAATCACCAATTTTTTTATTATTTAGTGAGAGAACATCATCTATATAGCGGAACGTAAAGTTAAATTAAAGGATATTTCTAACTTCTTATTTTTCTTCCTAAGACGTTCCTGTATGAAGTCAGCCTCACAATAATAAAGAAACAAGTCGGCAAGAAGAGGGGCACAATTGGTTCCCATTGGAATTCCGACAGTTTGTTGAAAAACACGTCCTCCAAACGTAACAAATATGTTGTCAATCAAGAAATCAAGCATCTTGATAATGTCAGTTTCAGAGAATTTTTTGTTTAAATCAGAGTGATTCTTTACAAAGTAGGTCTTATCCCTCCCCAAGACAAGATACTTGTATCTACGTTCGCCAGGACATTTTTCAAGGTATTATTACAAATGCGTTTAACAATTTCGCGCATGCGCAAAATATTTTTATATATAAAGATCGATTTGCACGCACTACCAGGGCTGCCGATTTAAAACACGGAATGGGGTCCATTGTCAGCTTTTATTTCAAAGTCTCCCAAATACTTTATGGTTTGCCCCTTAGTTAAAGCCATGAAGTCGTACCTGAATCAAGAGGATGTGCCAACGTTGGATAGCCGAGCAAAGGAGGAATGGGCATTAACCCTCCGGAATGGTGTACAGATCGCACTGTAGTTAATTGGCAATGGATGAACGATCGGGTTGGGTGTAGGTACAATATCAACAAACCCAGTCGAATCCATACAATAGTGCGCAGTTTCAGGTGGTAAAAGGATATTCCCTCGGCTGTTTAACAGTATTTTTTCAAATATTTCTATAGTGACTTTTAGAAAAGGTTTAATTTGGATTTCTATTTTGCAATTATTGTTGTTATTGTTAGTTGATCATAGTTTTTATATTGGATTTGTTTTAATTTTCCACAATGAGTTTGGCTGTCAAAGTGTTATGTGTGGCAGAAAGAGACAGTTGAAACGATAAAATCAACTATAGATGGGTATAAAAATAAACACCTGGAACGTCAAATTCTTTTCTTGTATGTTCAAATGTACCGAGGACTTGTCACGCGCATCAGATGACATGTGTCTTGTTTGAATTGTTAATGTCGGCTGATATATATCAGATATGTAGAGCCAATGATTCTGTGACGTTCGATGATTTTATAGACTGGTGTAAGATAAGAGATTCATCTCAACCACAGTTTAATTTCTGGTGTTCAATTTTGAATTTAGAACTTCTTGTGCTGTCAGTAGTACGCTCATTCCGTGAGTCAGATTTCGTATTTTACAAACAGACCATATAAGGCATGATACCTTTTTTTTTAACTTGATGGCGTAAATTATGCTCGATTACGTAAGACCAGCAAGTTGTATTCTAATATCGCAATTGATCAGGCACACGAACAGAATAATGCAATCGTAAAGGGTGATTGTGGTGCCATAAGTTTAACCGAAGATCACTCAGCTTTATGAAGATGGATGGTAGCTGGACAAGAAGTCAGTAGACTGGTAGATGAATTTTAAAGATCTAGTGGTTTGAGTCATTCTACAACAGACGAACGACATTATGCAGACTATGAAAACACAAAAGGATTTATTCGAAAAGGTTCAAAGGCTTTCTAAAGTGATGAATGAGTTTGAAAATCCATTTCTAGAGGACCCATCTGATTTGTACAAATTTGACTCTAAGGTTATTGTTGATTCGGAAGCAGGTAAGATATGCAAACTCCAAAATATTGGATCCAAACAATACGAAGACCTTTTAAAACAATTGCATAACGAAGGAGAATCTGCTTTTTATAACCGATAAAAAAACAATTTCCCATTATTTAGTCGAAAAACGAAACTGGAAACGTCTTCGTCAAAGCTAAAGATCATGAAAAGCGATTTCAATCTCTTTTCTAGACTTTTCATTTCATGTCAAAATAGACAGTGTGACTTTGAAGATTTCTTAAGCCATGAAAACCAAACTGTTCCAACGTCTTTGTCTCAGCATGGCACTTTAAACAGAAGTATTTAAGCGCAGTTAATGGATATACTTGAATCATTCTGCGATTTGACATCAACTGAACCACATTCTGACGCTTTTATCGTTGATGGGGACAGCAATGGTTAATTTCAGGCAACCACGTCGTGCAAAAACATTTGATGATTATGCAAATGTCATACTGACTGACATAAAATCTTGCACTGATACGTATTCAAGAGTAGACATTATATTTGACATTTACATAAATAATAGTTTAAAGGCCGTGACAAGAAGAAAGCAAGGTGCTGGTGCTAGATGGAAAGTTGTTGGTTCTGGTAGATTGCCAAGGGTTTGGAGTAGTTTTCTCAGTGAAGATGACAATAAAACGGAATTGTTCAAGTTTCTCGCCGACAAAATGCTTCTTTAGAGACTGATAAAAATGTTTATGTTACTGAAGGTGAAAATGTTCTTTGCAATTTCAATACGGATACTTCCCAGTTGTCCCCTTGAAATCACGAATAAACAGATACACGAATGTTTGTCCATGTTAAATATGCTATGTAAAAGGTTGTAAACAAGTAATTTTAAATATAACTGACACGGATGTAATTGTTTTAGGAATTGCAGCATTCTTAAGACTAGGTGTGGACAAATTGTGGATAGGTTTTTGAAGAAAGAAAGACTTTCGATGGCTTCCTGTTCATGACATATCAAGTTCGTTAGGTCCTGGTGTATCTTTTCTGACACTGTTTCTGCATTTCGTGGGAAAGGGAAGAAATCAGCTTGGCAAACATGAGAAGTATTTCCAGATATTACGGACGTTTTTATCCGCTTGAGTATGAGACCAAACTATTGAAGACACAGACATGGACATCATATAGCATTTGTTTGCATCATGTATGACAGAACAACAACTATATTTGCTGTTAACGAGGCACGATTTGAATTGTTTGCCAGGAAACATCGGCCATATGATGCCATTCCGCCTACCAGAGATGCTCTTCTGGAACACACCAAAGAAGCAGCATATCAAGGCGGACATGGCTGGGCAAAAACGGATATACATGTATGCATTCAACAGGTACCAACATGACCAAGTCATGAACACTGTGGTTGGATGAAAGAAAAAGACAATGTCAGTTTAAATCCAAAATGGACTTCATTACCCTCCGTCGTATCCTCGTGTCAGGTACTTTTGAAATGCGGATGCAAGAAATCCAGCTGTGTGGGTAACTGTAAATGCTACCGTTATGACCTTCCTTGTACGGGTTTATGTACATGCAACTGTCAGGTAGATAAATATTAGATAAAGCAACCTGTCTTTTTACCAAATAAGGCATTTGAACTGAACAAAGTAAGTTATATCTCTTGTTGAGTTGATGGAAATGATTACAAATGACATTTTCGCCGTTTTGGCCGCCATTTTGAAACCGGAAGTTGCCTTTTGTCTTCATTTATGTGTTGTCTCATCGTACTTTAGGAACTGTAAGTTACATTTTTTATCAAAACTTACATTGGATTATACTTACAACACAGCTTTCACGAAATGTAGCCAATTGGAACTGACGCCATTTGCAAAATGAGCGATGGCCATCTTGAAAAAATGAAAAAAAATGTTAAGGCCAGCAGCTGTTTTTTTTTTTTAATTAACATTAAATCCACCTTTATAGCAGATGTCATGCTTGTATCACGATTTACACTATTGTGTGCATAATAAATCCCACTAAAATGACAACAACATGGTATGCAGTCGTCTTGTATCATCGCATGTTTTGCCACTATATGACTTCACCTGGCAATTAATAGTTTTGGTCATATAGGGGACGTACGTTTATGCACAGGTTAATCATTCATGTCTTAGTTATAATGCTACTAGAATGGAAACATTATTTATTGCTAAAGAAAAGTTGCATAATATGTATCTACTATGATAGTATTAGTTGCTATTATATATACTTTAGGATTAGGACGAGTGAAACGCGTTCGCTGTCACCACGATTTACCAAATTGCATCTGGTACGTAGTGTTATTTTATAAAGGTTATGACAGTAGTTTTGTTGATATTAAGTAACTATATAGATATAATGAGCAAAGCATCGATTTTACTTTTACTTCGTTCTGTAGTGGCCGCATACATGATTTTTAGTCTTAGATACATGATTTTTTTTATTAGTTTGTCATTCGGTTTGAACTAGCTATCAGTAACTGCTAGTACTCTCAGATCTATACTAAGTGTCTTTTTTGTTGTGAGGGATGTATACATAGTCTGCCACGTCCGGTTTGTGTTTTTGTTTCTTGTTTTACCGCTTTGTATCGATCTGATGAGTAAAGCCCTTTTCAACTGATTTTTATAGTTTGTTCATATGTTGTGCTGTTACACCACCATACCAGGTTAAGGGGAGGGTTGGACTCCCACAAACATGTTTAACACCGCCACATTCTTTATGTGTCTGTCCCCAGTCAGGAGCCCGTAATTCAGTGGCTGTCTTTTGTTAAAAAAAGATTTGTATGCTATTCAAATAATTACAAAAATAAGCAACTTTACATCCACTATAGAAGTTCCTGAACTAAAAAGATTGTTACGCCATAGGGTTGTTGTCGATAAGAACTCCGTCTTAAAAAGCCGAAATTCGGTTTAAAATGGCGTCATCGGTTAATGGTTTACAGTATGTATTTAATTTTTTTCCTGTTTTATTCCCAACAGTTGCACACCATAACAAATGTATGCACCTTAAATTTGACAATCTAGAGTATTTCCTGATCCCTAAAACTCGAAATGGGAATTTCATAGGTTCTTTCTGTTTATAATGGCGTCATCTTCTAAATTTTACAACAATTGAAGTTTTAATTTTATTTCTCCTGTTTTGTTCCGAGCAGTAACCCGTTATTGTGTCAATATCATCTTCTAAAACAATCCCTGGATTCATTTTGACTGGAACCCCCCCCCCCCCCCCCCCCAAACATATATACACCTTAAGCTTAATAAACTTAATTTTTTCTTGATCCTAAAACTCGAAACGGGAATTTCACAGCTTCCTTGAGCAAAGCTATATATTTTCGTAAAAATCTCTCTTGATGATATTCAATGATCCTGACCTGCAGATTGTAGAATTTGGTTGTCATTCAGGTAAGCTTTTTCAAAGCTTTTATCATTAGCTCAAATATTCTCTAAATAGACCAAATACCACCAACAGATACATGTTTCAAAGACATTGAAAATATATTTGATCGTGATTCACCTCTCCGGCTGGTGGAGTGACAGTCACTTAAACGACAATAACAGATTCCAAATTCCTTTTATAGCTTGCTACGAGATATGGGTTTTAGTCATTGTTGAAGGCCGTACGATGATCTACAGTGGTTTACTTTTATTGCATTTGTTCTCTGTTGGAGAGTTGTCTTATTGGCAATCATACCACATCTTCTTATTTTAATATTCATCATACTCAAGGATTTCAATTTATAACTGATTCTGTTTTACAATGTATGATGTTGATTATAAAGCATCCGGATATTCAAATGTTCCTTTCTGTCGTATCAAACATGTGATCAACGTGTTGCTGAGCAATGCTGATATACATGTACAGTTATTTAGTAAAGTGCTTCGAAAGCACCAGTTTCTTCAATTTTGACGTTTTATTTTTTTAAATTTCTAATAGTATAAATATACCATTGAGAATGCATTCGTTGATCAATACTCGCCGTCAATGAAACATACGTCAAAGATGTATGATCTTGCACTTCAACATCGTCGAGTTTCGTAAGAACAGGGTCGATAAAATATTTTGAAGGATTTGGTTTTCTTACGTAAGCAGATTTCAGCCTATTGATATGCACTGGCTGTGATAATATTTTGTTCGTGTTTGGGTTCTTCAAAGTATACATATGAGGACTATTTACTGTAGAGATCACATATGGACCGGCACATTTATTCTTAATTTTTTGTCCTGTTCCGGTTTGCTCTTTCAGCAAATAAACAAAGTCGTTTTCGTGAAATGAAATATTTGGTATTCTGTCCTTATTAACACGGTCAATCATTTTAACTTTCGAATAAATATAATTTTTCTCGACTTCAGTACGTATAACGGTTAACTTTTCACATTGCTGTTTGAACACACGATGATATACATATAACAATCTTTAGGTACAGACGAAAAGTCGGTGTCCTTAATATGCAAGGACAACGGAAATTGTGGTCTTTTCCCATATACTATTTCAAAAGGTGAAAATCCAGCATTTTGGTTTGGAGTATTGTTCATCGAAAATAATATTCCCGGTAATACGTCCTCCCATGGTTTTCCTTTTAAAGAAACGGTGTTAGTCTTTCAGACAAAGTTCTATGAAGTAGCTCCCGAACAGTAGTTAGCAAAGCTCGGGGTATATTCCTGAACAATATCCAATAAACGACAAACTTCTCTCAAACATTTACCAGTACATTCCGATCCTTGATCACTTATGACAGTTCGACAGACTCAAAATTGCTTGACTAACTTGAAAAGCGCATTTCCGACTGCTAACGGATCAGTGTTAGGTATCGGCTCTGCAAACATGTATTTACTAAATAAGTCAATTGCAGTAAAAATGTAAGAATTGCTATTGTGAGACACAGGGACGAAATCATATTGAAGGTCCGTTTCCCAAACTTCAAATGGTGCACACGGCGTAGGAAATGACGTAATTACAGTTTTTGTCTTTATTGTGGTATTTTTCCTGCTTTGACATTCATGACATGAACGAATATAATCAGTGACTTTTTCACTCAAGTTCGGAAAATAGTACTGTTCTTGGATCAAATCAAGAGTATTTTGTATACCGCAATGTTTGCCCAACGTTGAATCATGGTGTAATTCAATTATTGTTTTAAGTGAAATTTCAGGAACAACTAACTGAAAATTATTCAATGTTTTTTTAACGGACTGATTTTTCTATTTCGTGTTTGAAATAATATTCCATTGATCAAGTTAAAATCTGGTATAATAAAAAAAAATCTGCGCGCTTCTTTCTGCAGCTTTTGTAGCTTTTTCTTTCAAGATACTGAATCAACGGTCTGCAGTTTGCGTCATTGCACTGCAATTCATGTATAGAATCGACACTAAATCTCTTTTCCCGAATCAATCGGTGTCAAAATATTTACATTTGAATCACTATCAATACCAGTAACAGAGTCTCGTTTTTTCGTATAACTATTCGTGATTTCATTGTCACTCATATCATTATAACTAGTATAAGTAACCTGTGTATCATTAATGTCAGTATTTCGTTCAAATATTATGTCCGAATCCTGTATATTATCACTTGCAGTGCTTTAATTAAATATTTTGTCTGGATCTTGAATATGAGAACTTTCAGTGCGGTTTACTTTTCTTTGATACATGTATATACTGTTGATCAATGTCTTTGGTGTCGGCATCATATTCATTGTGTGCCTGTAACATTACATTTTTACGTAGAAGACTAGTAACGACGGTGTACATCGGAACTGGCGCGGGCTGACAGATATTGTTCAGTTGTAAATTTTTACGTTTGCTAGTATAGGAATTACGTAATAAAGTGGTCAATTGTATACCTCCTGGAACAATAAATTGTCCTTGTATTTTCCGGTTCATAGGGGAAGTACGGATCGTTCTTGTCTGGACTTTCAAAGGCGTTACTAGTCTCTTGCGTGCATTGTGATAAGGTATCCAGAACTTGCATTTCCCTCGCAGGCTTGTATTGAATTTCAAAGTTATACTGCTGCAAAATAGCGATCCACTGCTCATAAACGGCACCTTTGTTGGTTGCTAAAGTGTAGTTTCAGCGCTTATTGGTCGCATTCTATAACAAACGGATTTGTTTGTAGGTATGATGAACATTCTAGAACGGCTGTAACCAGGCCAATTAATTCAAGTTTGGTTGGACCATATGATTTCAGCCATTTACTAAGTGCCTTGGATCCGAATCGTCTAACACGAATTTCATCAATTTCATTCATTTTCTGATATAGCACGTAACCAATGCCCTTACAACAAGAGTCTATAGCAAGTCTAAGTGGTAAATTGAAGTCTTGAAAGGCAATAATAAGAAAATTCAGCAGGAGTAATTTAACATTCTGAATTGCACATTGTTGTTCATCGGTCCGGCTAAACCTTCATATTTCTTTAAAAATCTAGTCAGAGGTTCCATTTCAGCATGAACATTTTTAATGTATTTTCTAAATCAATTAAATAGACCAACGTGTTGGTATAAGGTAATCAACGATGGCTTGTACACGGTACGGTGGCGGCTCAATTTCTTTATTGGCAATTTTATGACCTAAGTATATACAAGAGTTCTCAGCAAAGGTGCATTTTTTGGGTCTAAGCTTTAAACCTGCCTTCGTAAGTCTTTGAAAAACGTTCTGTAAATCTTCAATATGCTGATCGAATGTTTCGGATGCAACAAGGATATCATCAAGATAGCACAAACATGATTTAAAAGTCAATCCTTTAAGAACTTTGTCCATCAAAAGTTGAAAAGATGCTGAAGATCCCATCGGTAATCTTAAGACTTTGAAAGTACCAAACCATGTATTAAAGGCTGTGTAACGTAGACTTTTTTTTAGATCGGTAACTGGAAAAATCCAGATGTTAAGTCTACTAGTATTGAAGTCGGAAAATTCGGTGTTTTATTTGGAAAAGATTCAGTGAGATCTTGTAAATTAGAAATTGAATAAGAAAAGTGCTGAGTCATGGCATTTAGATACATAAAATCGCAGCAGAAACGAAACTTTGACAAACTAGTTTCTTTCGATGAAGTATTAGCTTTGCCTTTTCGGTTCGTTCTTTTCGACACAAGTACAACCGAATGGACATCTTCTGTTTCGTCCACCGGTGCAAATACTCCTTGTCGCAAAAGTTCATCTAAATGTTGTCTTAGAAAATCCTTCTTTTCGGGAGTTAAACGATGTGAACGTTGGTGTTTCGGTTTAGAGTCGGGCTTCAAACATATTTGGTGTTGAACAACATAAGTAAAGCCTAAGTCAGGGTTTTCCTCGGTTA